TTCTAAGAGTAAGCAATTTAGGCAGAGATTGATTAGCTTTTCGTTCTTATCTGCTGTTCTGAAGTGCTGAAGCTGCATTTCCTTGAAAACCTGACAAGGCAGAGAATTATATATTTGATGTATGTGACTCTGGACATTGGTCTAGATGCTTAACACTCTTTCTTTGTGGAGAAAAGCATGTAGTCAGTCTTAAGAACTGTGTCCCACAATTACTGCTGCTTTGAGTGAGATAATTTCAAAGAAGGACACACCAACTTTTGTTTCCCCCCTTTAATAATGGGAGAAGGAAAGTCGGCTTATGGAAGTGTGAAGTTGTGAACATGGTATTTGTACAGATTGTTCAACTGATGGTAAATGAGACTGATGGAGGCTCACATATGAGTGGTGATATTACTCACTGCTGAGTGAGTAGTTGTTTGTGGATGTTGGTCACACTGTTTTTTACTGTTTTTGCTAAGTAGCTAATTCTGTATTTGGGAGAGCTCTAGGCCTGACATAAGGTTAATTTGTTCCGAATGGTATTTTGATTTGAACTGACCATTGGGAAGATAGTTATTGTCCTTGGGTGGTAGGTGCACAGAGATTAGTTTGGACTTGGGACTTTTAAAAAAGTAATTGGAGTGCTCAGGTATTTCTCAGAATCACACTTCTTGGACATGTTACAATATTTTGCAGATTAAACACTGTGTATGGCACTCAACTCCTGGTGAGAGGCAACATGAGCAGCTTCTTCCATATTGGACAAAATAAATGATCTCTAGAAAATCAGGGATGGGCCTTGTATGGTATGCATTACAGGGGAAGGCCCTTCCTGCTCTGGGTACCAGGGTGAGGTTCTGACTTGCTTTTAGCCTTCACATGTGATTACTGTTCTTCTTGAGGTTAAATCTTATTTACTTACTAAATCAGTGTTTTGAGTCTAGAAATGAGTCTGTTTTATAATTACAGTGCATGTTGTAGGTTGCTGAAATGTTAAGAGTTTTCAGCTAATATACTATATTCTTAAAAAAAAAAAAAGCTTCAAGCATTTTGTACTTTGTGGAAGAAAAGGGGGAGGGAGTGGGGGAAGCCCAATAAAGTACCCAGAAGGAGCAAAGAAGAAATTCTCGAATTTAAAGTGATCCAAAGTCATCTTAAGTTCATGAACCATCATCGCTGTTTGATGTCAGCACAACTGAGCGGAAGTTTGTGGTTTGTTAGTTAACTGCTGCCATAGATTCAGAACTTCTTGCTGCCTGAGAGCGTGGATGGAAAGCAAGCACAGTGGGCTGCTCACAGCAAACCACACTACAAGCCTTCTGACCGCTTGAGCAGGATCAGGACCCTGCCTTGAGATGAAGCTTCATGCTGCGCCTTGTTGCTGCAGTATTTCGTACCTGAAATTGTGATAGACTGTGATTAGCAGAGCAGTAGGCAAGCGTATCTGCTCCTGTGTTTCATCATAGGAGGGGTTGAAGAGAAAAAGCAAGCTCCATCCTTAGAGAGAGAAGCTGCTGCAAGAGAGGAAAAAAAAACCAAAAAACAAAAAAACAAAAAAAAACCATCATTGCCTCATGTTGTTTTAGCATGTGACCAGTTACAGCAATTGTTGATTGTCTGCATACCGGGAAAAAAATGTCCTCTAGCATAAAAAGTTCACAGTCTCCACTTCAGGTCATTGCAAATAACCTTTCCTCTAAAGGCAGTTATTAAGGAAGTGGACGTCTAATCCAACCTTTAAATATACTTTGCTGAGCCAGAAGAAAATCAGAGAGTTGCAAAAAGGTTTTTTAAGCATGTAGTGAAGTTCATTTTCTTTCCATTATTTCTGCTTAATTTGAATATTGAGATATGGCTTTTTATTCTTTGAAAATAAATATCTACAGGGAAGCAGATAGAAGAAAACTGAGGATACAGAAGGCTTTAAATGCTCATTTAACACTTTCTCTGTGAGGAGGGTTCTGCAAAATCATCTAGGAAACTCTTAAAGCCATCTTCAAATCTATTTATTTTTGTGTTTTTTTTTTTCCCTGTTTAAATACAACAGAAGACCAAGACGTTTTCCTCATTATATGCTTAAGTCCCTCAGAGTAAAAGCTGGCCTGTGTCTGACTGTACAGAATCTACATGGGACAGATGCAGAAGGTTGAGGGGATCGGTTATGGGGTCCCAAGCAGGGGCAACGCATGAAGCTCAGGACCACAGTCACAGTTTGTGGAAGTGATTTTTTTTCTCATATCCAGCGGCAGAAGGTGGCAATACCTATCACAGGGGCTAGGGGCTCAGTCATTCTGTGGTCAAGGAAATCCTGAAATCAGTATCTCTGATATCAAGCTATCTTATCTAGTGGAGGGATACTCCATCTGGCATTCCACGCAACCTTAAGCATGTTTGTCATGGAATGCTTGTCTCATTTATTTTCTATCTTATAATATTTCTTACAAAATTTATCTCCACAGTGAAAAACATGAAGGAGAGAATCTTCTGTTCATTTCGCAGTATTTAAATTGGTGTTTGTTGTAATGATTTTTAAAGCATCTTTCTTCATATGTTCATGGTTTCTTGCATCTTATCACAGTTTCTGTAATGCAGGTTATCTTAGAAATACATTATTATTTTGTTCCCAAAACTGAAATGTGTTCATTTCGCTTAGGCACATTAAAAATGATGCACCTGTAGCTGTCATTCTTTGGGAAGGGTATATATATACACATAGAAAACACTTCCTTTTGGCCATCCACCTGGATACAGAATTGTGAGCTTAAATTTATTTCTTTCATTTCAATTGATTATCATTTCTGTTTATTACTGATCCTTTTCCTTTCCTCTTGGGAGAAATGTGCTTATTGACAGGGAAGATTTAAGTAGATGGCTGTGATCACACTCCTGACCTAGCTAATAGTCAAGTAAGTCAGTGGATAAATACTCAAGTCTGTAAGAAAAGCTCCATTAAAGGGCCAGTTTTAGTGAACTGATAATACAAGAAAGAAATGGAGAGCCTGTCCTGAAAATGTATTTCTTTTTTATTCTTTGTGGAAATGCTGACTGGCCATTAGTTAATGGTATTATCCATGTGAAGGTATGATGAAAATGGAACACAGAAATCTCTTAGTAGTTGTAAAAGTAATTGAGGCATTGGATGCATAGAAATAGCAAAACCATGGTTACACATAATTTGAGTACCAGTAAAAACATACCTGCTTTTAAAAATATATATGTGTGCATATGTTTAACCTCATCATATATCTGTAACAGGAAGATAAAAGTAACACCGTAAACCTCAGAGTTCCTATGAATGATTTGCTGCTAACGTCAGTATTTTTTTTAGAGAATGTGATTATTTAGATCAAACAAACATTCTTTTGGCATTAGTGACGTAGCAGACTCGTGTTTGGTGAGATTTCCTGTTTACTTTGGGTCTGAGCGCAGACATCTCAAGAAAGCGGGTGCTAAAACTTTTATTCCACATCTGCATGGAAAGGCAGCCAAAACTGATCAGAGATCTGTAACCAACTTTATATAGGTTTTTATTCTTCAGAAAGGAGTAACGGCAGCTGAGGCATAGAAAGCTCATAGATCCAGAGATGTCTTGGTTTGCTGGCTGAGCTAATTCCTGTTTTAATCTTGTAATTATCAGCCAATGTGAATTTGGCAGCCTTGTGAGCTACTGTCATACTTTTCTGAGCTGGGACCCATGTCGATAAATTCCCTTGGAGTCAAAGGACTGGATGGCCATTAAGGATGAACTGCAGCCTACGTAAGAGTTCCCAAATGGTAGCAAGGCATTGCAGTGGGATTCAGTACTCAGTCTTATTCCATCTCTTTTCATGAATTTTCTATTTCAAATCATAACTTCTGTGAGTGTTAATAAATAGAAACAGTACATCTTTTTTGTAATTTCTGTATATGATTTATACTTATTAAGTTGCAAGCCTTTAATATATTTTTTTTCTAAAGGGCAGAAATTATCATCTTGTTTCATTATTGTCCAAATTATAAATAAAATTGGTGATTATATTTATCACTCTGTTGCTACTTTTCCTATTCTGTTGACTTGATTTCTTTGTACCTAATAGAAAAACATAGCCTGCAATAGACTTACCGAATGGATTTTGTTTCTCCTTTGATGATTTTGAGAAAATGAGATGAATGTTTTTGTAAAGGTGACTTCAGTAGATTTGTATCCTGTGAGGATAAAATGTGTATTTCTACATATTTGATTCTGGTACTATCATGTGGAACAGTATCAACATTGAGACCTGCTTAGGCATTAAATTACTGCTGTATTTAGAGATTCTGCAACTGTTACCTCTGTTTGTGAGGCAAGAAATTGCTGCATATGAAACTATTTGGTAATCTAGATTGGCACTAGAAACCAAAACTGTGTCTTGGAGACCAAGTTAATGACAGCAACAAACATACAGGAAGTAAATAAAGTGGCAAAATCACATGCAGTGTATCCTAGGAAAAACATATGATCTTCATTGAGAAAAAACGATGAGAATCAGGAACAGCTCTGCAGTGGCCTTGGTGAGAATGGACTCTTCTTCATGGGAAGTACTGAGCAGAGGGATGTCTGTCTCTCTGAAAGGCCAGGCTGGGTTCAGCAGCTCCAGCACTCTGTATTCATACTGAACTGAATGAATTATCTTCCTTTTCAAGCTTATACCGCAGGAACTTTACGGAGGGGTCCTTGGTACTCTTCATAGTACTAAGACAATTCTGAGATACCAAGTAGTGTTTGAGTGAAGCTGGATGAGGTTCATGGGGCCTGTCAGCCCAAACTGCTACCAGGTGAATGCTGTCCCCAGGTGCACAGGGCTGTGCCTGAGCTCACGGGGCTGATCCGAGCTGAATGTATCTATGAGGTGACTTATTTGCAATGTACAAATACACCTTTGTGTTTTTTAGTGGTAATTATAGAATAAAGGGGAGAGAAATAGACAATATAACTGAAAATAGTGTTTATCTGTAGTTTACCTTGTACTAGATTTGATGGCAATTATGTTATTTTTTTCCAGGCAAAAACTACTTCTCAAGAATGCAGATATTCCTGTTATCATGAATACATATTTCAGTCAGAAGGTATTACTCAGTGAACACTTAGAAACAAGCAAGATACAGGGTCCTACAAAGATGCTTATTAGAAAGAATATTGTATCTTTGGCACAGACATTCAAACTAGATGACCTTGACAAGCAACCCCAGGAATCTTCAAATGATCAGGTAAGACTCATTCATTTGGTTCTTCAGCATTTTGTAAGAAGTTGGCAAGCAGATGTTTGGAAATCGTAACAAAAACAAAAATTACTGACCTGTTCAGTTTCCGCTTTCATTTAACTAAGGCTGAAGAATATGTGATGTTTGTTTTAATAATATTTTCTTAGCAGAGGCTTCTGGCCCATCTAACGGCTGAACTGCTGAGAGGTTATTTTGCTGAAATCTCACTACTGTGTTAAATAGTAATTGTAGTTTGTTTTTTCATGCATTTTTCTTTTGTTCTATACAGCTGAGTAGCCAAATTTTATTTGAAGTAAAATCGATTTCCTGATAACTGCTAAGATAGTATCAGCTGAGATATTATTTTTAATAAATATTCCCTTTTTCCACTCCTATTGAACTCATTTCCTAGTCTGTCCTGTTCTTTATTTACTGCATCAGTTGGGAACACCAGCCTCCTTTCCAGCATCTTTACAATTTGTTTTCTTTCCTGTTATAACTTTTTTTATATCAAAATGACTGCTGACTCTCCAGCTGTTGTACAAGCTGAAGTATTTTAAGCTATCTGATATCTGGCTATCTGATTGGCTATCTGATAGTTTGCACCAACACTTTCTTAAAGATTTGTTTGAAGTTTTTGTGTTGTCCACCCAAAAATCATTGTTAGCATTTGAGAATTTTGGTCCCAAGAATCTCAAGAACAACGCTGAGTGTCATTGTTTTATTTGTCTTACGTATATATACATATATATATGTATATAATTCCATCTGTAAGTGTAAGAATGAAGCAGTTGCCTAAATCAAACCCTAATTTAATTTCTTGCTGCAGGTCCGTCTGGTAGAGAGCTGCTTCTGCAGTATGTGAAAAACAGAGCAATTTAATTCTTTCCCTGATACTTCCTAGCAAAACCATTTCACTTAAAACTCATTAGACATGTTTCATTGTAACTACTTTGCAGACAAGCGTATCATCACACCATCATTTCCTTATTAACATTGTATTTTTGCTTCTCAAGTGGTGGATAATACTTACGGTTAGGTTTGTAAAACTTTACATTGCATCCAGCTATAAAGAAAAAGTTTATTTGAAATTATTTGAAATTAAATAAGAATTTATTCTTATTTGAAAATAAGATTTTGGCTTCTACTGGTAAGGAGCTTGTACATACAGTGTTAGTTCATACTTGCAATCAGTTTTTTTACTAAAAGATTTATTTTAGAATGAAAACTAATGCAACTTCTCCTTTAAACTGAGGGAAAATAAAACATAATTTTGTACACGATATATATTTGGGAAGTTTAGAGGATTGTACTTCTAAAATACATTTGGGAAATAGCTAAAGGGTGGACTAAGGTTTGTACTTTCAGATTAAGTTTTTATACTTCTCACTAATCATCTAATTTTTAAATTGAAACATTTTACTTGAAACATTTTACATTAAAGTTTCTAGACACTTGTTCATTTTCACATAAGTGTGAAAATCTGCAGCATTCAAGATAGATTTTACCTCTCTTTTAGAAAAGGGAGAAACAGAACATTGGAAAAGTAAAAATGAAACTATTCAAGAGGAAGAATCATAAATACTAGTATCAGTTCTCTTTTCCTCCTACTGTCGCCCTAATTTCTCATGGATTGACTTAGCTCATTCCAGAGCAGCAATCAATACAGGAGAGTGCTATGTGCTGTAGTCTCTTTAGCTGTTTATTAAAAATCCTCAATAACATTAGTCAGTAGTATGTAAGTCAGTTTGTGTGCAGTAAGTATTTTGAAACTGACCTTGTATTTCTTGCAGAGATTTTTTTATGTTGTGCTTTTTAGCACTCCATAGTTTCACCGTCCCAATAAATATTTCTGTTAATGGATTTTCCTTCATCAGGTGGCTTGTGCTCCACAACTCCATAACACCTGTGATCCTAAAAAGCATCCCTTAGCACTGGGTGCTGTTAATGATTCTCTGCTTGAAATGGTGGAAAGCCAAGGAGCAGTGGGATGGAGAGAAGTGCAGGTACGAGTCATTATCCAAAGGGTGTACTATTTGCCTGCAAGAGAAGGTTTCAGAAGCCAGATTCAAGGAAACAAGCCTGTCTGTGCTACACCCATCATAAATTCAGATCCACTAAATGTTAGGTAAGTAATAAGCTGTGTGGGAGTTATCCTAACGTGCCTGTTATGTATGAGAAACCAAAGAGAAGGGAGTTTGGAATTGTCATTCTTAGCCTTCAGGCTCCACGAAATAAGTACATTCAACAAGGTGCAGGATTTTCATTAGTCTTTTAATAGATACAGTGTGAAATAGAAGTAATGCTGTCCACGGGAGGGAGGGATCTGTCTGTATTTGCATCAGCAACTAACAGGAAGACTGAAAATGCACGAAGGGGAACCACTCATGATCATGGGCATTCTATATTGTTTCTTTTGTTTTACAGAGTAAGTGTTGTATCAAACATGTCTCATTTACGTATTCCAGTCTCCAGTATGTTCTATTGTGAATTGTGCTCATAGAGTCGTCTCTTGGAAGACAGGAGAAATACAGGGAGAGATGGAGAAGCAAAAGGCTTTTCTAAAATGGTAGTTTGATCAGACCTCGCATGAGAAACGCAGGCAAACACATGCAAACTCCCACTGTGAAGCCACTCCTGTTGACTTCTGGAAGTCCAGAAGTCATGGCAGTTCATCTGCTCCATAGTAAAAAGTGATCTGGTGTCAAAACATTAACACCAATCAGGAATCTTGTATGCAAAACTGTAGAGCATACAGATTTAGATTAGTGTTCTCAGCTGCTTCTATTTTAATCTTTGCATCCTGACACTGGTCTGCCTTTAGCGTAGGGAATCAGAAATGAGACCTTGTTTTTGTCAGTACAAAAGATAGACAGGGAAGTTTTCCCTTTTGACCTTTTAGAGACCAAAGATAGATTTTCAAGTCTTTCTCAGCAACTCTGGATCTAAGATTACTGTGTCTGTTGTTGTTTTTCCTTCCTCCAGGGTTTGTGCTAACTTTTGGTTCTAGATGGGTTAACATTTTATAAGCTTTATTTTAACTTAAAGTAAGTTACAGTGGCAGGGCTTTTATTAAGCTTGTAAGCACAGTCTTTCAAGAAGACTGTAGATCTCTACTAGGAGATCTTTCTTCCTGCAATTAGTTTGAAAGATCCTTCTGAGAACTGCAAATGTAGTTTGCAATAGGCTTTGAAGAAATTCTTCAAAGGTTGGAAGAATTTCAGTTCCTCTAAGCCACACTGCTGATGGTTGTACCATGTTCACAGGTCCTTCTTGAGTTTTTGGAGTACTGGAATTCTCCTAATTCTGACTACCTTGTAAACCACTGGATGTGGACCAATGTATGGCACTCAATGGTCAATAATATTTTTCCAGGAGCAATTTAGGAAGATTGCTCTTTCCTAAGAAGCATATTCAGTAATCACTCTCAGAAAAGTAATTGTCAACAGCCTTGCCTCTCATGTTTTATAAAAGTTGTATGGGTTTAACTTGCATTATTTTAAAAACATAGCTGGCACACCTTGTTGTGTGAAGTCAATGCTCTATAATTTAATTTTTGCTATTTTATGCATTAAAAAAAAAATGATAGGCAAGGGTGTTTATCAATCCCACATCAATCTTTGATTTTGAGAACAATATTCCTCTGTGTAGGTTTTCTTCTAAAACATTTGATCAAAAGTCAGGGCACTTGACAGTCTGTTACTCAAGTTGATTTTTAACGCCACTGATTCTAGCAGAGGACAAATGATAGCTCTCCATTATTATTTTTCAACTTCTGACCAAAAGTGTGCCTAGCACTCAATCACACAATTCCTGATAGTTAGCCTGCCTGAGTCTGCACTCTTCACAGGAATGGGGTGAAACAACACAAATCTCAGATTGCACTTCTTATGCCAAACTTGAAATAGAAATTAAAAAAAGAAAAAAAAAAAGAGAATATGTTGTAGCTGGGTATTCCCATGTGCAGTTGTTGAACTGGCCTATTGGAAATTCCTCAAATTTTGTCGATATTTTTGTTCAAAAATGACCTTGGTGGCTGTCGTTTGCAGCAATTAGAACTGCCTTTTGCATCCATGTGCTCTGAAGAGAAAAAATCAACCCCTTTTGTCTTTGAAAGAAGGAGAATTAAGACTTTTAAAGATTGAAGAACAGAAAGCACCTCATACTGCTTTATCTATCAGCTGCTATTTTCATGGCTGATAAGCATCCGCATGAGACATTTCTCTTCTATCAAAAAAGTCTGTGTCTGTCACCTGATAGTGAGTAAAAAAGGTTCAACACCCTCTGACAGTCCTTTGAACCAAGTAATGGCCTGTGCTTTTGTAAAGAAAGCCTTTTTTTCTTTGATAACTTCTTTTTCTAAAGTAAAACTGCCATAAAACCAACATTTGTAAGATAATTCACTGTTTTGTAAAAATAAGTTTCTAATTAAATATCGAGGTAGGTGAGTATTTACTTGATTTGTATTGTTGTAGGCTGTTGTATTTATTCTGTTGTAGCATGCAGTGTAACCTAGATGCTGTTGCCTCAGGGAGCATGAGAAACACAGAGAATCAGAGACATGAAATGAAATGTCAAACAGGGGAAATGATGCATTTTGGTCAAAGCATCCACTTTCTAGAAAGAGTCTGACAAATTGTGGGAGAAATGTATGTTTTTAGTGTTCAAATTGATTTACTGAATTGTTTAAAGCTCAAGTGGGAAAATGCCCATAGGTGTGTATCTTCTGTTGTTTGTAGAGATATATACATAGAGTAGAGCCTTTCACTGGTAGGCAAATGGTTAAGCCTTTAAGTCTGACTTACTTACTACTTCAGTAAGACTGTGTGTTTAGCTGAATTGTCTCAGCATTTCCTTAGGATGCTCAGAAACCCAGCGCCTGAAAAGTTCTCCATTTTCTGTCATACTTAAATTGTTCTCACATTCCCTGCATTATTATTGAATCATTTGCCTTTCCCTCCTGTAATTAGCTGTTCTTGCAAATGGGCTTTTCATGCTTAAGTTAAGAGTTTCGGGGGGGTGAGGGGTAGGCTGGGAGGGAAGAAAGTATGACTTGCTTTGACTGTCTGCCCCTTTCCAGCATTCCTGACATACTTTTTGCTGCCTTTTCCCCTTCTGATGAGAAAGATACTTTTACAAGTGACACAGCGTGTATTTGTTGTACACTACAACACAAAAAACGAATGATTTTGACTTTCTGAAAAAGGCCTGACTATGGGTACATGAATCCCAGAGAGAATCCTGTCAACCTGAGGAGTTTTCTGGCTTTGAGGTGTCTGACTCATTCTGTCGGCCTTGTACTTTGCGTTCCTAGGATAAAGCAGTGTATAATTTGGATTTTACTCTTAGCCAGTATCTGTTTGTTTTGAGTGGGCCACACGAGTTCAGTAAAAAATAGACAGTCAGTTCTGTTCCTTAAAGGACAGGGATCATTGTGTGATAGTTGGTGAAACTAAAATAGATGGGTTTTCAGGACTGGTAGGGGGGTTAAACTGGCCAGAAACCCAATCTCACAAGATTTGGGTTAGGAAGCTGGGCTGAGAAGGGTGTTGTCTCCTAAGAAGGAAAAGCTAAGTACTTCTAAAATAAAACAATGCTGGCTATAGTTGTGAATCCAGATTTTAAAATCTTTGTGGGTGAGTAAAGAAATGTTCTGTTCACTTCTCTTGGCGTATATTTTGACCTACTTCCCACCTGAAAGCTAACTTTCAAGGCTACCGTGAATGTATTCCAAGAACAAAAGAAAGACACTACATTTACTTTAAAAAATTATCCACTACCCATCAATAGTTCTTTCAGTTTTACTTTTTATTTTGTTTTCAATCTGCCACATCTTAGAGAAGCAGAAAGACCAGCTACTGTGCAAGTAGGACCCTTGGGGAGCAAAATATGTAGAAGAGCCAAGCATTTGTTAGAGTGGCTCAAAGAAGCAGGAGTGTGGGGAAAGTAACGTTTCTCTTTCTGAATGGAAACATTGATGTCTATTGCTGGGATTCATTACACTCTCCCAAGTTGTTGCAAGCTTCTGTGTCGTCTGTTCCTGTGTGATTCTGCTTAAAACAGCTTTACTGGCAAAGGGTAATCCCGTAGAACTAATTCATTTCAAAGTTAGATTTCCTTTCTCCTCTCTTTCTTGATGGTCTTTGCTGCTTATCTTAACATGAATGTAGGCAACATGTTAACCTGTCTGGCTGCATGCGCTGCTAAAAGTTGAGCATCAAGTGCTGCAACTAGCCTTTTGAGAAGGTAGACCAGTTTGAGAAGCAGTATTGAAAAGTAACCATTCTGGCATGGAAAACTTACCTTCAATTTCGTAAGACATACAAAAAAAAAGGGGTGGGGGGTTGGAAAGGGAAGGGAAAAAAAAGGGGGGGGGGACAGGACTAGGGAGAGGAGGGTAAAAAAGTAGAAATCTTATTTGAAAATAGCCCAGATTGGAAAGGACTGTCATGAAAAATCCATGCTCACAGATGCTAACATCTGTCAGAGTGTTTTTTGTGGCTGACTTAAATCTGTTTACAGCATTCCATTTGTTTTTTTTTGAGGGTTTTTTTTTTTTTTTCTCTTTTTTTTTCCCAACAAAACATTTCAAATGGGATGGTCATAAATGCAAGGTTTTTTTTTTAAATTACATTATGTTTCTGGGATGTGATTTTTCAAGTGGGAAGTAAACAGGAAATAGGTAACTGAAGTGCAGTAGAGAGTACTCCACGAGCTAGAAATTCTCTCTGTTTTCCCTTTTTCAGACCCTTCTCGGAAATGAAGATACTGTGCTTTTAATATTCTTGCAAAGTAGACTAATTGCTACTTGACAGGCTTGTAATAGTTCTCATAACATCTGTGGTTCAAGGTCTAAGAACCTGTTTCTGCTTTGAAGTTTTTGTTTGTTTGTTTTGTTTTCAAAGCACTTTTAAGACTCTGACATTTGGATATTCCTTCTTTCTTCCACCCTGCTCTTTTGTAATTCTCAAACTGGAGCTACCAAAACAAAGAGTAAAGACAAAAGACTTGGAAAAACAGCTTTGGTATCATGTTATCTAGCTGAGACATTAAACTGTATTGTGTATTTAACATTGTGGATTCCCTGTGCACTTGCCCAGGTAGCCCTAAAAGTCTATTTTCCCTGCT